GAGCGAGACCCCGTCTCTACTAAAAATAGAAAGAAATTAATCGGACAACTAAAAATACATAGAAAAAATCAGCCGGGCATGGTGGCACATGCCCGTAGTCCCAGGTACTCGGGAGGCTGAGGCAGGAGGATCGCTTGAGCCCAGGAGTTTGAGGTTGCTGTGAGCTAGGATGACGCCACAGCACTCTAGCCCGGGCAACACAGTGAGACTCTGTCTCAAAAAAAAAAAACTAGGGGAAAGCTTACATCGTGTCTAACATGTGTGGTGGAGGACCGTTAACTGACCATGTGACCATGGCAAGCTGCTAAGGAGTCCCAAACTGTAAAGTGTCTGTGACAGCCCTCCCTTGGAGCCACGTGGCCTCCAGGATGAAGAGGATAAAATGCCATTCTCCCCTCCTGCCCCTCCTACTTGCAAGGCTGCCAGGGGCCGGCTGCCAGGCAGAGCGCGAGCTCCAGGCTTCTTCCCCAGCACGCGGGGCCTCCCGGACCTGGCGTGGTGTCTCGCCCACCCCTGCCCTGCCTTCTGTCCGAGCCTCACCGCACTGCCCCGTGTGCACCCCTGCACACACCACACCGCCCTCACGCCCGGGCCCCTGTGCCCACGCCTCTCGCCATGCAGAACCTCCCCGGTGATTTTCCGGTTTCCTACAGTAGCCAAACCCCCAGGCCAGCTTCGCACCTGCAGCTTGTCACTCTGGCTCTCGGGAGGTTTTTATCAGTGGGTGGGACAGCTTTTGCTTACCCTAAAAAAAAACAGCCCCGTAACCACTCCTCTGACATGCGGTGTGTATTTATTCAGCAAACATGTCTTGAGTGTCTGGTGCCTGTGGGCTCTGGTGTGAGGAGGATGAGTACCACACTGTCTCTGGCCCCAGGGGCTTCCCGTTCTGGTAGGGGGAGCCCAGCTGATAAGCAGACAGCAGCAGAACCTTCTGGTAAGTGTTTCACTGAGAGTGGGGAGGTGCAGAGGCTGCAGAGCAGATGGTCCGCTGACTCTGACATCCGAGAAAACTCCAGAAGAGACCACATGTGGGCAGGTCTTTGGGGAAGAGTTGACACTGGGTAGGCAGGAAAAAGAGGGAAAATGGGGCTTGGAGATATACTGTTGCCTTCTTTTTCTAGGGAAGGAGTCGATTTAATCTCCCATTTCATTTAATTTTCCCTGGAAGGTATAAGAAGCAGTTTAAAATATTTTCTGTTCATTATCTGTTCTAGAACTTGTAGTTTTACAAGGTGTTGCCAACATTGTAACAAGGTACCCAGTTAAATCTGTTGCATGGTTCCAAGGATTGTGAGGTGACTCGAAGTGATCTCGGGAAATTTAAAATTGGTTTGTGAACGTAAATTCTAACTGGAGAAAATCAAAGATGATCACAGTGAGTTAGATCAACGTGGTGGTTGCCTATTTAAACCTTACTATTTATTTTTTTCTGTCGTCATCCAAAAACAAAAACAGAAGAGCATTAAATGTGTATGCTTAAATTTTTGAATATATTTTAAATTATCTTGTTTGTTTTGTCTGAAACTGTAATGTAAATAGGTTTAAAATTGTTACTTTTGGACATCTTTTATATAATGGGAGGAAATAAGTTGAACATGTATGGAAGAAAGATGAGTAAAAATCTAAAATCAGTGTTCCTGTTTTTGAAATGGGTCCGTTTTTACATGACTGTTAAATGCTACCATTTAAATGTAATGGAAGTTTTAGATGGAGGTATTTTACTTTATATTAATATTATAAAATAACACCAGTAAGAGGAGGCATGTAGCTTTTAGCAGATTTTATATTCTAGACTCGTTATTAAATGTGGTTTGGGGATGGATAATAAAATGAAACGTTTCTTGTCCATTGAGAAGACTATCTCTTTTTAAGGTTATGAGAAGACGGACGAGGTTTCGGAGAAGACCTCGCTGGCTGACCAGGAGGAAGTCAGGACTATCTTCATCAACCAGCCCCAGCTGACAAAATTCTGCAATAACCACGTCAGGTAGGAACTGCCAAAGGATGCCCTGGGACCAGCCAGCACGGCCGAGCTGGAGAGGTCGAAATGAAAATGCTTGCCAAGAGCTCTTAGTGCAGGCAGGCAGTATTTGAGAGCTGTGTAAGATTTGGCACTGTGCATAGGCTGCTTCTCCCTCTTCTGTCCTCTTCTGTCCCGTAAAGAAATATTAATAAGAATCTGGAAGTAGGAAAGCATAAAACGGATAAGCGCTCGTCATATTCTACTAATCCTGTGTATCTGAATCACGAGAGCTATTTGGGGGTAAATGCCTTTGTCCCGAACCTGTTAATAGAGCAACGTATTGTTGTTTTCAGTTAACAAGTTTTAACATTTTAGGAGAGGCCATTCTGCACCAAGAACTCCTTTTCTTTAAATAGTCTTCAAATACTGGTTTTTGGTGCTTGTGAAATTTGGTGTGGTGTTGAGGAATGGGGGACTGTGAGAGTCATGTCACTGCAAAGTTGTTTTATTCCAACAGTAATTTAAAAACTGTCCCCGTACGCACTGGTCACCACGCGGCCTCTGAGACCAAGCGAACACGCCCAGTGCGGGCCCAGTGTTTGTTTCTCTAGTGGCAGAATTCCCAGATTTAAGAAGTGCCCACTTAAAATTAATATTTGCAACTTCAAATTCTAGAGTAACATTTCTCCATTTGGGGATGCATCTCCTT